TAATTTGAGATTTGTTTAGAATAGTTGTTTGAGACCAAAAAAAAATCTTATTTGGACCTCAAAATTAGTTTTTGATTTTAATTATTGATTTTATCATAAAAAATTCTTTATTTTTATTTTTTAATAATAAAATAAGTAAAAATATAAACTATCTCTAAATCATTAATTTCAAAATAAAAGTAAAAATATAAATTATTTTTGGGCAGGAGAAGTAATATTAGTATAGCTAGAGTAATATAACTATAATCGATTTAGTTGATTTATTCATTATTTTTATATGCACGGCCGCATAATAAAATTTGTCTTTGTTTAATTTTAAACTAACAAATAATAATTTTTTAACTCGTATATTATATAATTTATTAAATTATAATGTGCATCAATTAATATCTTTAGAAAAATTAAACTGTTTTGGTAATTAAAAAAGGTAAAAACCTACTTTTAGCCCATCTCTTTACTAGATTTATAAGTTTTAGCCCCTCACTTATTAAAATCAAAGAAAATAACATTTATTTTATATTGACTATTAACTCTGTTAGTTGAAAATATATTTTTATCAACTAACAGTCAATTAATGACTAATTAACAGATTTAATGAAATATTATAAAGTTAATTCTGTTAACTCATTTAACTTAAAGAAAGTTTTTGACAACTAATAGTCAACTAATTAAATTAACAGTCAACTAACTGAACTAACAAAATATTATAAATTGAGGGTTATTTTCTTCAATTTTAATATGTGAGGGGTTAAAAGTGTTGTAGTATAAGGTGAGGGGTTAAAAGTTACAAATCTAGTAAGGGGAGAGGCTAATATAAGGTAAGAAATTAAAACCTTCAAATTTGGCAAGATGAGGGGCTAAAAATAGGCTTTAAGTAAGCTTTTGCCATTAAAAAAACAAGTACAATAAACAAATTTTAAATAATTTAATGAGTCAATATAAAAAAATTTATTAAAAATATTTAAATAATTTTACAAATAGTTTCAATGGTTTAAATGTGTTGATTTTTAATTTTTTTTTCAATTAATTTGCATATAAAATTACATTTTTACTACTAGTTAATATAAATAACAAAGAAAAATAAAACTAAAAGGGATAAATAGTCAAAAAAAAAAAATGAACTTCAATTTCTAGACTTACATAAAAATCTTACTTACAAATTCAATGATTAGTAATCTCACCCTCTTAATCAATTCACTTGAAACCTCATGGATTGATTTTAAATTTGTCTTGATGGTTGGATGAAAAATAAGTTCTTCACATTAAGATTAAAAAATTTATGAGTATTAAAAGATTAAAAAACTTTATTCATTTGACATTTACATTAGGAATTAACAAAAATTATCACAATTTACATAAAAATAGCAGATGACTTAAGTACGAAATATATAATTGAAATTGTGAATCAAACTCAAGCTTAAACTTCTAGATTCAAGACCTAGGGTGTACTATTTGGATTTGCTTCTTCTACCTCTCCCTAATAGGAATTTGGTTGGTGTTGCTATTACTCTTCCTCAAGAGATGCCCTCTCATGGGGGTATAAGTCAACATTAAATTACCCATATGATTAAAGAGTAGAAAGAACCCATAACATTAATCTAGGATGGTGACTTTCACCTGCTTTGCACAAGAATTAAAGGAACAATGTTCACATCTAATGACACCCTACCAAATATACATTCATTATGCTTTACATGTCACTGAACCTTTGCCATTCATGACAATGGCACTGCATAACTGTTCAATCTTTTTTAAAATTTTGAACAGTTATGGTGTTTCTAGACTAAATATAAGTAACGATTAACTTTTAAGCCTATATGGTATTTGTTCTGATTAATTCTATACTCTGTACCAATGCCTGCAACAAAATTACAAAACCGTTTTACAAGGTCACAACATTCCATATGCGCATCCCCCATTTTCTCTTTTCTCTCCTTTTCCCTACCATTAAAAAAATGCTAAAATAAATAGAGGAGAAAACCGATACTTTACATTATACAAAACAATGTTTCACCTTCTAGACCGTTTCCTAGCGCTGCTCCTCACCCCATTCTCTTCCTTTTCTCGCCCTCTCTTTGCTGTGGACTCTGCTGGCATCGCTGCTCTCTTAGATGGCCTCCCAATCCCTCTCTTCCTTTTTCCACTCTCCTCTCTGGCCCCTCTTCCTGCTGAACTCCGCGTAACCATTTCTCTCTTGATGATCACCTCTCTCTTCCTTCCCCTTCCCTTCTTCTTTTCCTCCACCTCCTCCTTTCCATCTTTACTCTCATCGTCTGAATCACCATCTTTGTCATCATTCTCCACCGTTTCACTTGGCGAATTCTGCTTCTTTTTTTTCAGAAAACTCGCCACACTTTTTTTCTTCGTCATACTTTTTTTTGCATCCATTTTAGGCTCCAAATTATCGTGAGATCTAAGCTCATTATCGCCATATTCATGCTTTACCTCTCCACCCTTATTGCTTGTTCTTGATTTTCTCTGGTCCGTTACTGGTTTTTCTTTACTCCTTTTCTTCCTTGTACCCTTCTCATCAATCCCCACTGAAGAAACATTATTCACCTTCTTTTCAGTTACCTTCGGTTTCTCTTCAACTCCTTTCTCCTTTCTTTCTCCTTTCCTACTAGCATTCTCGGATAATGCTTTGACAGAACTGCGCTTACCACAAGCTACCATGGTGGAAGACTTGGTGAGTTTTGAAAGAGAAGGCCGTTCTTTTTCAGGTTCTGGTTTCACAGTCACAGATTCCTGTGATGGTTTTGAGGCAGACAGCATCTTCACCATTTCCTTCTGGACCAAGTTCCGAAGCTCTTGGGCAGCAATATGTTCCTGAGAACTTTTGCGGTAGAAAATGATAATGTTGTTGAACAAAAGTAGGAGATCTCTAAAGAACTTCTGGGTACAATCGGAATAGAGCCCTTTGTCAAGACTGGATTGAATCGTTTGCAGATCAATGTGTTGCCGTATCATGGTTTTGTATCTTTGTGATTCCTGCAAGATTAAAAACAGAAGAATATTATTAGCTTAACTGATATTTCAGATGAAAAATATAATAGTTTTAATTGCAAACTCTTCAGGTTTAGCTAGTGATTCAGTGCCAAACGGCTAATTTTCTGGATTTGGAGGTGCGGTAAGTAACAAGACAGGAAATGGTCACTTTGGTACGAGTATGAACATTCCACGAGACCGCAACACGTACTTTCCGTTGATTCAGAGGCAAAAGTTAGCGTAATTGTGAAGTAGATACTATACTTTTTTTTATGTTCGTAAAGTAGTTCTTTTATTAATATTTTTTTTTCCTCGAGCAGTCAATTTATCTAAAGCTAAGCGGAATGGAGAAGGAGAAGAGGTGAAGCTGGTGCCGGAGCTCTTAAGTGGGGAGTCACTTGCTCTACCAAGTGAAAAAGCTTTTTAAAGTTATTCAGTCAAATAAAGTTAGACCTTAAGGGGTTGTTTGGTTAGGGTATAACTTTTTTCTTAAAAGTTTTAAAAATTATTTTTATAAGATTATATATATTTCATAAATTAATATTACAACAATTTAAAACAAAAAAAAAAACAAAGAGTAAATGGCATTTTTAACTTTTATTTTTTAACATAATTTTTAATCTGTAAATTTTTTTCACACTTTCTTTTAAAAAAAAAAGTTTTTTCTTACTTTCCTCATATAAGACCCATTTAATATATTATTTAAACAATCAAAATATTCTCAAAATAATTTAGGCATATTTTAAAATTAATCTCTATATGAATGATTTTAAGCTTCTAGTTGTATAGACTTAGTACATTATTGTTGACATTAAATTTTGAATAATGAATCTAGACATAAAGTAATGGCCAAATAACCACCTATGTATTTTGCTATGGCCAAAGCAGTTCACAAACCAACCTTAAGCGAAAGCCAAAGGGCTTGAACTTCAAATATAACAATAACTATACTAATAAGAACTTGATTGAATTGGTATTAATATCTTTAAAATGTTGATTTAGAATTGAGATTAAAAATTTAAACTTCTATAATATCAAACAACTATCCTTAAGATATCTAAAAAAATGACAATAACTCTAAGAAGTGATAATTATATAATTTTTTTACCATTATGCATAGCCTAAGTTAATTCTTTCCCAGTAAAAAGAGAAAACTTTAATGAATTTAAAAGTGAAAAAGGTTTTTCCAAAAATATAATAGAACAATAACTCCTCTGCAATTTTGACTTGTTTTTAGACCTAACAAACTTGTGTGAGTTGGTTTGGGCTATGTTATATCATATGTCATAGATCAGATGGGTAAATTAGGGCAACTTTTATTAGTAATTTCCCTAAATTGTTAAACACATAATTAAAACGACTCACAAAATTAAAAGTCTCTACTCATGACCATTTTAAAACGGATAACATGGGTTGAATGGATAACTTTTAATCAACTTTTACAACCACTAACTTTTTTCCTGCTTTCCCTTGTCCCCTCCCTGCTTATATCTTTTAAACGGTTCCCATTTCCCATTCATGTTCGAGGTGTAAAACCATTAACTAGAGAGAAAGAAGATGGTGCTAAGAAACCGAAGATAGCTCAATCCAGGTGTGGCAGGGCCACTAGGAAGCAGCTTAACTTTGGGCGGAAAAAAAACAAAGAGCAGCTTGGGCCAACTTAACTTTGACCTTAAGCCAAATTAAGCTATTTTCAAATCTATATATTCGAAAAGAGATGTTATAAAAATAATTTTTTTATATTATTTTTTATATAATTTTTATATATTTTAAATAAATAAATATATTTAATATCACAAAATTATATAAATAAAAAAAACATGTCAAATTATATAAAAATTAAAATAAAAAATTATCTTAAAATCATTTTCTTACTCGAAATCAAAAGCATCTTAGCACCTAACATGCCACGTCAGCAAGTACTAAACCTAAATCACGACAAATGATGTGTCAGGCTTTGGCAAGAGAGGACAATAATTTAGAAATAAAAAAATGGTTTTAAGAATTTTGATTGCTTATTAAAAACGTAATTTGTTTTAAAATTTTATTTAAATATTTTAAATAAATTTATAAAACAAATTATATTTTTAATATATAGTCTCCCCTAAAAAACTTAAACTCCATTAGAAATACTCCTTCTCTTTTCTTTTTATTGCTCTAATCTTTTAATTTTATATAAATTAAATGGATGATTTTATATTATAATAAATCAATGATAATAAATTTTTTTATTTTAACTAAAAACACTCAACTATAATTAGTTTAGAAAGAAGAAAATTTAATAATATTTTATTTACATATTATATAAAATTATTATTTTAATATTTATTGTCAAAATACTTTAAACTTAGATTTTGTACATTTTGAAATTAATCATACCCAATAATATTAAAATCACGACTAGCCATGTTGATTCAAGAAAGAAAATTTATTTCTTTAATATCTATTCAAGATTTAAATTTTAAACTTAATTTAAAATAATTATAAAAAATTATTTAGTTAAATTTTATGTAAAACTTAAAATAAAAATTTATATTAAATCTATTTATTGAAATAAAACATACTCTTATATGATTATATCTTGAAAAATAAGTGGTACCTGGCTCCGCTGCCGCCGCTCGAACGCTGAGCTCAGCCGATGGGACCGAATGATCCCGAGAAGCTTAATTAACGGCTCAAATTTCACCGCCGAAGCCCCCTTGTTGGCGGGAGAAACCTTGTCTCTCTCGGGCTCCTCAACGCTGCTGCTTCCACAGGCGCCGCCAACCCTTTTACGGCGTCGTTTCTTCGTCGACAAACTCACCGAGCTCTGCACGTCGCTGCTCTGCTTCTTATTTTCGTCGTTATAATACACCCGCCCCTCCGTCGGTTCATTTTCCGGCTGAATCGGATCCCTTTCTTTTTTAACGTCCGGTACGGTTTTAACATTCGCCTTTCCTTCTTCTTTCTCTCCTGCATCCGCTTCTACGACGTCGTTTCCATCATTCCTTTCGGTCGCCGTCATCGGCTCAGGTTTCCGACTCGTGGAATTGGACTCGTTGATTGATCGGTCATCGCCCTCGCCGGAGTCTTCATCGACGGCAGGATTTCCGGCGACAATCACCGGCGAGAGATTTGTCTCCCTCCCCAGATCTGCGCCCTCTTTCAAACTTCTCTCTCTCTCCTCCTCCTCCAATCTCTTCACCTTCAATTCCAGCAACCTGTAAAAACAATACCACCTCTCAGATCTCAAAACAAGAAAAGAAGAATATTCTTTCAACTGGATCGACAATGAATCGTTCATTCATATACAGGATCGAATTGTCACGGCGCTGGACCTCACGACGGAGCTCCTCGACGCGAATCCGTCGGAGCTGGTCTACCAAGGGAACCAAACTCGAAGAGGACGAATCGGCGTCGTTTTGGGACATGAACCGTCGTTTAAGGTCATTGAACTTTTCCTTACATCGCTGCGGAGTGAGCCAAGCAACCGCAGACCTCCGCCGGTTGTGAAGTTCCATGGCGACAGTGTCCCAGCTCTTGGTGCCGTGGCGGTTGACGGCACAGGCCAGCAGTAACTCCTCCAAGGTGCCCCAGGGTTGCGCGGTGGTTTGTTGTTCCGTGGCCATGCTAGGTTCATGTCATCATCATGTACAGCAAAATCATTAGGGTTTTGCCGTTTTGATTGGGTTTCGCTATGTTCTGTTCGTTGGCGTATCGCCGTATCTTTTTTTTTTTCTTTTTTTTCTTTTTTTTTTCTATTAACGTTTAGCGTGTGTGTGTGACTTTGGATATCTGCGGTTCGGGTTCCTGACTATATCCCTTAAAAATATGAATGTTGGGCTCGATCTTGGAGCTGGTGCGACAACTGGGTTTTTTTTCTTCCAATCCTCGCCCTAATTTTAATTTTTTTTTTACGCGTTTAATTATAAATTATATAAGAAAAAATAATTAATATTTTTTTTCAATTCATTTTCATATTTTTTATGTTTTCGTAAATTTACCAGATCGTCCTCTTTCTTTCGTGGAATTTCTTCATTTGGGTATTTGATTAGCAAGTTATCAAATTATCCGATTATGCGGTACGGTTACTTTGTCCATGACTTCATGTGACGGTCGGTCATGCACTTGATTGCGGCCGTAACAGAGGAAGGACAGGTTGAGGGTGTTTCTGGTATTTGAAATCTTCGTCTCTAGGAAATCTGAGGGGTGCTTTAATACTTGGTTTAAATATCATTTTGGTCCCTTAACTTTGTAGTTTATCGTCAAAATTGTCCTTTAACTTTAAAAAGTACTAAAATTATTCTTAAACTTTTATTTTCAGTACCAAAATAATCCTTCCATCAATTAAATGCATAGGTGGCTTGTTAACTTACTAGCAAATCACTTCTTTGTTTCTTAACTAATGACATGGAAAAAAAAAAAAAAATAAACAACCTTTTTTTTTTTTATGAGTTGGTATTTTTATTTAATTTAAAAATTTTGATATCCTTTTTTTCCATCCACGTCATCTCTTCTTCCTCTTTCACTTTTTCTCTCATTTACCTTTCCTTTTCCCTTACCTTTGCAAACCCAAATTTGGGTTTGAGAAAGGAAGAAGAAGGGAGAAGAGAGAGAAAGAGAAAGAATAAGAAGAAGGATGAGCAGGGAAAGGTAGGAGGAAAGGAGGAAGAAGATGAAGTTTGAGAGAGAACCCAGATTTGGGTTTGCAGAGGTATGGGAAAAGGAAAGGTAAAGAAGAGAGAAAGTGAAAGAGGAAGAAGAGATGACATGGATGGAAAAAAAAATATCAAAAATTTTAAATTAAATAAAAATGTCAACTCAAAAAAAAAAAAATTGGCCAACTATGTTCTTTTTTTTTTTCCATGTCATTAGTTAAGAAAAAAAAGAATTGATTTGCTGGCAAGTTAACGTGCCACCTATGCATTTAATTGACAGAATGATTGTTTTGATATCGAAAGTAAAAGTTTAAAGATAATTTTAATACTTTTTAAAGTTGAAGGACAATTTTAGTGTCAAAGTGAAAATTTGAGAAACCAAAATGGTATATAAACCTTAATACTTTCATATAGGTTAAATTTAATAAATAATTTAATAATTATGTGGTTCATTTCAGTTTAGCCTCAAAATAATTTTTTTTAAAATGATATATAAATTATCAATTTTGTTTAAAAAAGATCTACTTAACAAACATTCTGTTAACTAATTAACAGAATTTTTTCTGCCCGTTGATAAGCTACCCTTAAACATTTAAAAAATGTTAATTTTAATATATATATTTTTGTTTCTTTGGCACTATTTTGTTTTTGAAGTTTAAATTTTATGTCAAATGTAATAATTAATTAAGATAATAATTTTAATTTACATTGATCAAGATTCTAATTTTAATTTACAACAATCAATATTATAATTTAAATTTTATTATTTCT